CAGTTATAACTTAATGAATACTACATTAAATAGACAGGTATGCAATAAACACTAATTGAGCAGAATTAAATATTATTCAAACGATGGCTCTCAGTCACCAAAAAAGAGCTAAACCATATATGGCACATTCTATTTAAACAATTTAGATAGTAATCTGAAATTGTTAAGGTAAAGCTATTTCAAAACATAATCTTCATGTGTTCAGAAAATTCACTGATTCAGAATGACTTATTACCCAAGGTGTCCACATCACTATCCATTCCACTTCATTTTACCCCCAGAATAAGAGAAACTAAAGATCAAAGAGGATATTTCAGAGTGGATACATCAGTCACCTAAACACACTGTTTCATATTATGAAAACCAGGAGAGTCATCAGTATTTTATCACTAACTTAAAATAACTTCAAGCTCTAATATTAAAATTATTTTTCACATTCAAATTGATAATAGAAGCAGTCATCATATACTTGATCATTTCTAACAACACAGAACAATATTTCTTCTTCCATAACAAAGACAATAACACTTATGAGTCAACAGAGTCACTCAATAGTTTTTAAATGTATACTGGTTTAGAAAAAAAATGGAAAATATAACAAAAGATACTTATGTCCATATAAATTTGATACCAATGTAAGAAGAATGCCAAAAACATCGAAGCAAAATGATTGACAGGAAGGAAAGTTCACTATGGGCTAGAATAAACTAAACTATTTCACAGATGAGAGGACATGAGCTGGGTTAGAATTCAGAACTGGAAAGGAGAAGAGCTGAAGGAAACAATTTGTTTTTTCAATTAAAAAAAATAATCTAGCTGTGATGGCGAATACCTGTAATCCCAGTGGCTGGGGAGGCTGAGGCAGGATGATCATGAGTTCAAAGGCAGCCACAGCAAAATTGAGGGCCTTAGCAACTCACTGAGACCCTGTCTCTATAAATAAAATACAAAATAGGACTGGGGATGTGGCTCAGTGGTCCAATTCCCCTCAGTTCAATCCCCAGTACTCTGCACCCCTCCCCCCCCAAAAAAAACTTCTAATTCAAAAACATCAACTGTAAGGCATATTCAAGTAAAGCAACTTAGAGAAGCATTCAATTAGAAATATATTACTGATTAAGACGTTCATCTAGTCACACACACATTTGCAAACAGTGCTTTAACTACCCATTAGCTTCATAAAATCTTCCAACTTAAGACTTGAAAATAAAGACTACAGCAGAAGAAAAATAAAAAGGAGCTGGAAGAGAAAAATCATTTGTCATCAGATCTCAATGTACTTCTCTCAATGTTAGAATTTTTATTTTCTCTGGATTTTATGCAGCATGGCATTCTCCCCTGGTATGCAGAACATATTACTTTATTTTTTAATATTTGTTTTTTAGTTTTTTAGGTGGACACAATATCTTTATTTTATTTTTATGTGGTGCTGAGAATCGAACCCAGGGCCTCATGCATACTAGGCAAGCACGCTACCACTTGAGCCACATCCCCAGCCCAGGACATATTACTTTAACCCAGAAAAGTGACAGAAGTTCACTCTGAAAGGAAATTCATTTTAGTAATTTCCTGTCCACAAGAGGGCTCCAATATTTCTTCCATGAATGAAATAGAATTAAAATTACAATGAAAATAGTCTAATTAAAGCACATAAAACATACTAAAAAATTTTTTTTGAATTGTCATTATCTCATTTAACCCCAGACTACAAATTGTTACATCTTCATTAATTATTTTTAAAGACTCAAGGGTTTTAACTGTTTTATCAACTACAGTGTTTCAAATACAAGCAATGCTTTGCTATTGTCCTCAGTTTCTTTCCTAGGTAGAGTTTTTAATGAAATAGATATTATAAAGTATAATTTTAGTCCAAAGCCTTCAACAGTACCCCAAATGTTTTATAAGCCACTTTTCTAAATACAAGAATGTATCTCTTGATAACTTTCCCACTCCAGAAAGCAAAATTACTGCCTTACCTACCCATTCTTAGGCCTTACTACTAACACCAATGACCATTGTCTTCTTACAGAAAACCTACAATTGCTAACATAAATCATGATATACTTATAAGCAATGAATAATGCCCATCATATACTATGACGTTGGCTGGAAAAAATAAAGGAAATGAATCATTTAAATATAAAATATTATAATGATACTATTCAGATATTTTCAAATTTCTTACATATGCTACCACATTAAAATGTTAGGAAATGTAGTTCAAACTCAATCATTCTTAGAAAAAGAAAAACCAGCACTTCATGTAAACACACTTATAATATTTATAGGACATAACAGAATGTTGACTGGAAGAGTACCAATGCAAATTATTTTTTTAGTAGTACTACAAATCCACTTACTACAGGGCCACTATCCTCTTCAAACAACTGACTTAATATGAATTATAAAAAGTGAGACTCCTAATGATAAACACAAAAAGTAAATGCTTAAAAACAATTTTAAACATGAGCTCCACTTACAAAACAAAAACAGATGCTAAAAAAAAAAATCAATTTTAAAGTAACAACCACAGTCAGAAAAGAATAACAAAATATCAACTGAAATTACTGTAGCTCAAAAAAAGAATTAATGCTAATGAAAACAGGACAGGGGTTATAATTTCACTGCCCCACCCCGGCTCCTGGATAGGATTTCCTATGGAGCTGATGAGCACCATTAAAATATAAAAGAGCATAACATTTGCTTTGAAATAACACATTGGAGCTGTCAACTCATGGAAAGCATAACATTTTACTGCACCAAGCAAAAAATGTATATATTCATACTTGCAAGGTTAGAGGATTGCAACAGCACACAGATCCTAATCGATTTAGTTATGTTGTAAGGGAAATATTAGTTTGTGGAAAGATGTAGGAGTGGTGAGACCAGCTTTTCAAATTCAGAGTGGTTAACTGTTCTCACTTTAAGTCATGACGTGTATTCAATTGTCAATTATTGGTAAGAAGAATTGAACAAATATGAAGCATTTAATCAACAATTTTTAACCAATTTTATTATATTTCAAAAAGTTGGGAATTCTAAGCATATATCCAATGAAGGCACTTCTTAAGCAAAGATGAAAATAAGTAACATCAAATGAAGGTTTAAAAGACTTGCACAAAGAAAAACATCTTAATTTCCAACAAGTTGAACCTGAGATACAAAAAATACCTAACAATCTAACCTGTTCATACCTCAGTACATCAGAGCATCACTGGGGCATTATATGTTTATTACATAATACTGCTTTGCCCTTGCATATCACCTTTAATCAAGTGATCTCAAAGCACCACAGAATCATCAAGGCCTTAACATACAGTCTAAAACAGATAAGTAGTTATATTTTATAATCGAAGCTATTAATAAAACCTTGCCCCTATTCCCTAGGCCCCTGATCCCAACATTATCTTCCAATCCCTCCCTCTCTCTGACTTAGAAACACCATTCCCCAAATCATCTCAATTTGTCACTGATGCTACGCACATTCCAGCTTTTCATTATCATTGGGCCTAAAGAAAGTAGTGGCTCTGTTTAATGACACAAATTTATTGCATTACAACTTCAGTGACAGAATAAATGGTACTTAGGTGAACATATCTTGCCTAGTACATGAAGATATAAAATGGAGGCTTTAGAGAGAGCAAATCTTTGCCAGAGGCGATGAGCCCACAGAATCACTCATCAAACAGGGGAAACAGCATTTCCAAGCACTGTCTAGAGACCTCTCTAGGCAACTTCAAGAGCAGTGTAGAGCAAACCATGTCAGCCACTCTTACCAGGCAGGAGACTATTCTCAAGTGTGCACACCAGGAGGGAAGGAAAAAATAAAAGGACAATGCATGAGTTTTAAGACTCAGGAAGGAAGTGTAAGGCTGCCCTATGGCCACCCCAGAGACAGAACACTGTGGTTGCTTTGCATTTATAAAGCATATTAGAAGTGAAATCAAATATAAGCAAAATGTCTTTAAACCAAGGTCAAAATACATCATTTAGAGTACATTTTTCTTATTTTAAAATTTATAAAGGTGGTGTCGTCCTACAGAAATTTTTAACATTTTAAAATTTAATCATCAACAAAGTTTAATTCTGTTTTTTTTCCACTGGAATGCAGGAACACTCACATGTCAACTTAACACATGTGAACACCATTACATTAACTTCAATTCTTTCATCAATAGGATTATTCGTCTTCCTGTTAATTGCATTAGGACTGTCCTTAGCACTGCAAAGTGTAATTTCACACTCCCACAAACCCACCTCGCAGCCCGGAAAAGCTACACAGTAACTGTAGTCAAGACTCAAAACCTTCACCTTTATAAACCAAAACAAAAGCGCAATAAACAAGAGTACTTTTGTTTCAAGTTCTCAATACTCAGTAGTCAAGGCTCAAGAACATGTTTTAAAATATCCGTCACTATAAAGCTCTAGAATACTCATTTAAAAGTACTGATACACAGTCAGCCTAGATTTGAGAAAATTCCCAAACAACTTAAAATGTTTTTGTTCACCAAGACCCTCAAAAGAGCTCACAGCAATATACTAGTACACTTTTTTCAAGAGATCCCTGCTGTTGAAAAATATCAGTTATGTCCCTACGCATTATCATGTGTGACACTGAGCAAGATTCTCATTCCCTCGTCTACCTGGGTTTCCAGTGCGGACGCCTGTCCTCAGCTCTGCCCACTGTCACTGACGTTTGCAGAAGCGTTAAGATACAAGTGTTGGGAGGCTTCTAGCAAACAGGGAGATGTATTCTCCACTTCAAGCCCCTGCTACATTTCCCTATTTCTCCGCTGTCCTCAATGACTTAGAAAAGAGCCAAGATGAGAAAACCTATTAAAAACAGTACTTTCTAAAAGGAGGAAACCAGAAGCTGCAACTTCTCCAAACCGGCTTTTCGACAGTCCCCAGCAAACCTCTGCCCCACGCCTGCGTCCTTTCTGATTAAATAAGATTGGCAACCACAATTAAATCAGAGTGTCATAACATGGTTCACTTACCATATCCGCCGGGACATTACTGGACATCTTGCCGTTTGAGATATACCCAGATATTTACGCAGAAAACAAACACAAAAGAACACAAGTCTTCAAGCTACAGAAATAAACCTTCACAATTTTGCTTGGTTCGTGATGTGCTTTCCAAAAAAACAAACAAAAAGTATTAAAAAGAAGTTATTTTGGAGCCAAAGTGCCGTTCTGGCCAAGATTCTGGAGCGAAGAGGAACAATCCCCAGGAGCTGTGTGGCCAGAGCCAGAGGAAACTCTCAGGACAACAGCGGCAGCCCCCGTCGTCGTCGTCGTCGTCTCCGTCGTCAGCAGCAGCAGCAGCAGCAGCAGCA